TTTATTGCTTATTTCATGTTTGTAACAATGTTAATGATGATTGGATTATCGATATTTTGCAATTTCTTGAGGATTTGATACTGATATGAAGAAACATCATCTTTGGTAATTGTATGTTGGTTTATTCAGTACTAAATCATAACTAGGGTTAAAATGGTAATTTGCTATCATTCAGAGAACAATTACCAAACAACATTGTTTCATTCAGTACTTAACCATTCTGATCCTCTTAGCCATTCTAACCTCTTAACTATTCCGAACTAAATCATTCAGCAACTGCCAAACAACCCTTTAGTCTATTTGTTGATTAAAAGCTAGAGGGTAAAAATGGTTTTCCACTTTTCCCCTTCAATTTTTGTAGTTAATTTAATTTCTGACATTTTCCATAAAATTGTAATTTAAATAATTATATTTATTAAAAAAATAGAGCCAATTATATTAGATATTTTCGATTTCACTAACAGAAATATGAATTCTTTCAAAAAAAATACGTTTTTTTAATTCAAAAAAATATATAACTACTAATTATAATTATTAAATCATTTGTTTTTATCGTTTCCGTACGATGATGGTGGCAACTTGTTACCGGCTATTGCCGGTGACCTTATCCGTCAAGTTCAATGCTTGGAGAAGAAGCCAGTATTGTGCATGATTTATTAGTTATTACTTTTATTTTATTATAGAGTATCTTACATATTTGGTCCTCGTTATATGTTGATATTTCCTGTTTTAGTCCATGAACTTCATATATATTATAAGTCAATTATCAATCTTTTTGGTTTGCATTTTGTTACGGTTTTGGTCCATGCCCCTAACTCTCTCAATCCCCTCGTGTTAAGTGCACGGGCAAATTGTTATTTTAGAAGGAAAAAAATCCCTCATGACACACACTCTCTCTCGTATTTTTCTTCGGTTGTCCCTTTCGTCCTTCAAAACGCTAAAATAATGGATTAAAAAGTCGCTACCGACCACGGTTTTCGACCCCCTTGGTTGTGGGTTCTCAAAGCCCCCACCTCATCTTCGGTGGGTTTTTCATTGCATCTAAACAAGGTGAGGATGGAACCGTCGATGACTATCGCCTGGAATTCACCAATTTGTCGTCTTCGATGTCAATGCCATCAAATAGTTCATGAAACACATCACCTACTCGCCAAATCTAATTTTCCTTGAGAAGCTTAACAACAGTGAGGACACTTCACTGTCATGTCAACAAGGAACTAGAAGACCTGAAACCCACAATAAATTTTCATGCATTGTTGCCTTGTCTCTCTAGAATTTTACATATGTTACGACTTCTACATTCGTCAATCTTTGGAACCCATCCCTTTGAGCATCTATCTCTTTCCTTCTATTTCATCTGCTTTTTTTTTATTAACCTGAATATTCAACCCGCTATGCGAGACGACTAATCCCAGGACGATCACTTGCTTTGCAGATAGGTTGGAGTCACCGCATTTGAACTTTCGTGGCCACAAGAGGATTTTTATTCCTTCTTGGATTTAAACCTGGGACCTCCATGTACTTTTGACCTTTGGGGTCAAGCTCAAACCAATCAGACACCACCCTTGTAGTTATTTCATCTGCTTCTATTAAGGCACAAATAAGGTTTGATTTAGTTGTTTAGATTTTTTCTAGTGTAGAGTGTCATTCAGGGTTTTAGGTTTTATACAAATCTATTGTTTATGTTCATGTCTTCTTGATGTTCTTGGAATGTTTATGCTCAATGTTTTCTTCATTGTATTTTG